AAATATCGCAGCCATGGTGTTAACGGGCACAGCACAATTACATTACAGAATTAAAGTGATAAAATTATATTTTGATATGTCTTTTTATGTGTGAACAATACCACTAAAAATATACGCGCCTTGCGACAAGGTATATGATGATTGTGATAATAATGCATTGTTTCTTTGTTCCGTTAAAACAATTGCAGTTTTTGTGTGTAGGAAATTATAGCATCACTTGGCAACGTATAATATCAAAGATGGCGGGTTTTCCCATCTAATTTTTTTTTTTTTGAACTGAAGGTACTAATTTATAACGATCCTATGTTTTTAAATAAAAATTTATAATCCACAAGCAAATAAACTTAAAGTACTGAGTTATATATATATATATATATATATATGATATAAAGTAAATTGCCATGTTGACAATGACCAACTTTCAAATCAGTGAATCATTAAATTTCTCGTGTGGGTTCCGTGGCCCTGTACAAGAATAGATCCACTGCCTACCCAAAATCGTGTCTTTAGAGTCGACTAACTGGAAGCTTCCTTCAAAGCTGAAGTGCATCTGCCTGAGAGGCAAAGAACCAGCAGTCTGCATACAAATGAGTCAGATCTGTAAAATGGATTCACTCGCAACATTCAGGTTCTGGAACAGAACTGCAGTCCAGAAGTGGATGAACAACCAGAACTTTCCGCCAGAGTTTTTACCGCTGGTGAACGCGAAGAAAAAGAAGAAGATTAAATTCGACACAACTGATTGTGATCGAAATCAGTAGGAAGGCTAGTATAGTTTTATATTATGAGCTTTTACTTATTAAACTATGACAGCTAGATATAGATTAAAAGGCTCTCCTCCGAACTTCGTTCCCATATTAATAATATTATTATGGCGGCCAAACAAATACCCTAGCAGGGCCTCAGTCATGTGTAAAATGGGGAGTGCCTGGCAAGGAACAAATCGCGGCAACTATAGGACTGTCTCCGAATAACGGGTCAAAATTATCGAGGTCAAACAAATACTCCAATAGGGTCTCAGCAATATGTTAATTGTGGACCTGTTTCTGCAACTATGCCGCACCGCCGACAGAATCCCCTGCGCCGCTATGAGCAGCGCAGATGGGGTGCTAAACTAGATGGCTGAGACTCACAAGCAAATAAATTGGAGGAAGTTGCAGGAGATGCGGTAGCTGCTGCTCTTAAGTCCCAGCCATCTAGTTTAGCCCCCCATCCACGCATAGCAGCCCTTGTGATACGCTCGACGTTGAGTTTAATCGGAAGAACACTATTGCTAACCTGCGTTGGAGCGAATGGTCTCCCCGCCATGTCGGTATTATCGTGTGTATTGTTGCGTTTCTCGAAATTGTCAATGGACAGTAATCCTAGTTTTGCCGTGATGTGTTCATCGGAGGAAGTCCGCATTTTACACACGACTGAGGCCCCATTAGGGTACTTGTTTGGCCGCCTAAATATGGGGACGAAGTTCGGAGGAGAGCCGATTAAAATTACAAATCCAACAATTCCTTATTGAAGTATTTAAGCCGATTCTAAGCGGAGATAATAAAATTTTAGTGGCGGATACCACCACAGACAAATTATAGTGGAAATGGACAAAACATGGATTCCGGGCTGCGGCCCAGTAAAATGAAATGACTCAATATTTGCATTTTACGGCCATGACTATTTTGTTTCTGAACGAATACCTTAGCAACTATATATTGCTGGAATCAGGACAGTGAGACCTAACTGTATATGCATGTCTCAAATACATATACTACAATATGCAACTAATTAACATATGAAAATGGCCCGAGGCTGACTATTTTTCAGCAAAAACCTTATACATTTACAGTTGTCTGCAAATGAGCCTGGCAAGATGTATATCATATTGTGTGTCCTGATAAGGCGAACATAAGGATCATATAAATGTGAGTTGACATGACCTAATTAACATATAAAAATGGTGGCCATAACGGCTGCATAGGGTATCCAGCCTAAAAAACTGAGAGATGATCTCTGAGATGCTTAGCTGTTCTTCTTGCCATTATTGTACAGGGTTCGTAGCGGGCCTTAAAACCGGGAAAAAGTTGGGAAATGCATGAAACCTCTCAAGGTCTGGAAAAAACTTTTAATGAAAACTTATAAAATCCAGGAACTTTACCCACAAATCCTTAAACTTTACTAACCCTAACATTGACATGTAAGTAACGGTCAATTTTTAAGCATTTAGGCAAATTGGGAATATAGAGCTAAACCTTGATTTCAATAGGCCAATCAGCACTTGGTGGGTGATGCGGTCAGCATCATTGCGGCCACCTTTACTTCCCAGGACTGCACCTGGTACCCACTTAAGGCTGTGTCGACCTAGGAGTCAAGGTCATTTTTGAAAGAGAAAAAAGTCCGTCTTCTTCAGGACGAGAACCCACGATCTTCCGATCAGCAGGCTGGCGTCTAGCCGCCAATGCCACAGAGACTCCCAGCCTTGACATGGATAATTAACAAGCGGAGAATTTAAGAGAATTTTTAGTTCTCCTTGCAATAACGGTCACTAGTTGGACAGCGACGGCCGCTTAGTCGGAGTTCAGTCCCCTGGCTGCAGTGCAATTACGGAGTGGAAAAGAGGGAACGACACAAATGACATAATTAGGGGTAGGTTTAGGGTTTGGGTTAGGGTTAGGGTTAGGCTAATGTGAGTCGCAGTTCCGTGTTGAACTCACTGTGTTTTGTGATTCGTGCCTTGTCCACTCCGTAATTGCAGACAGCCAAGCATGGAAGTATTGCCAATGGGATTTTTGTCAAAACCCTAGCTAGGCTGACTAAAAACCCAAGCAATACATAAGCAAAGAACAAAAACCGAAGATTGATTATTAATACATATTTTATAGTTATGAAATGAAACATTTACCCACTTTTATATAAGTATTTTGATGCCTTGGGTTAAGATTTTGGAATCTAGGTTTTTAAAAAATATATATTAATATATATATATATATATATATATAGACAACCTAGATTCCAAATCTTAACCCTTGTTCTCATTTAAAAACCCAGATCTTGGGGAAAAGCCCAAGTATTGGCAGGCCTGATTGATGGGAGCGCAGTCAGCGCTGCTGTTGTTTCTCGACCACTTAGATTTACCTATTCCGACATAAAATTTTGTGAACTCTAAATAATGACAGACGCATTAAAAAATTGATACAATAGTTGTAGATGTTTAAAAAGCAACTCACAGAACATTAATAATTTACTAAGCATCTTAAGTTAATTACCAAAGAATCATCTTAGAAAATGCGCAATGATAGCTGAAATTAATTATTGGGATTTGGGGGTGATTAGGAAAAAATATCTCCAACAGAAAATGCTAGGAACTGGAAATAATGACAGATGCATGAACAAATGCTACAATGGTTGTGGATTTAAAAAAAAAAATTATTAAGATAACCTTAACTAATTCAATAAGTATTTTCAGGTCATAATAAAAAATAGATTTATCGTATGCGCCCCAAAAACTTGTCAGGTAAAAGCCTAGCATCTCTTCAATACCTCCTAATAATTGTTTCAATTTGATCTTTCATGTAATGAGCACAGAAAAAAAAATTTCTCAAAAAGGGTCATTGCGGGCTCGTTTTTTCGGTCAGAATGGCATCAATAGATACAAGAAAAAAAAAACACACGGCGTCTCGAAACTTCTAGTCAGAACAATCGCATCTCAAAAATCAGTCATTCATTATTTTAAATTTATTGTCATTCTGAGAATGAGATTATTGTCATCAGTGAAGAAGTTCATGCTACAACTAAATAAAGAAAAACCCATCTGACAGTGTCAGTGACACTACAACTAAATAAAGAAGAACCCATCTGACAGTGTCAGTGACACTACAACCAAATAAAGAAGAACCCATCTGACAGTGTCAGTGACACTACAACTAAATAAAGAAGAACCAATCTGACAGTGTCAGTGACACTACAACTAAATAAAGAAGAACCAATCTGATAGTGTCAGTGACACTACAACTAAATAAAGAAGAACCCATCTGACAGTGTCAGTGACACTACAACTAAATAAAGAAGAACCAATCTGATAGTGTCAGTGACACTACAACTAAATAAAGAAGAACCAATCTGACAGTGTCAGTGACACTACAACTAAATAAAGAAGAACCCTTCTGACAGTGTCAGGGACACTATAAATAAATAAAGAAGAACCCTTTTGACAGTGTCAGGGACACTACCACTAAATAAAGAAGAACCCTTCTGACGGTGTCAGTGACAGAATTGACGCATCTGTCATGTGGTGCTATTTCTGAATTTTATAGAACAATTGGCACTTAAGTGAAATGGTCAACATCAAGATAACGTCAACTGCTTTTACTTTCCATGGACTGTACTGCTGGCTCAAAGGCCTTGGGGTTAAATCATTCATTGACACTGTCTTTAAGGTTAACCTCTCTTAAAAGAGGTATCACAAAATTTCCTTGGGAATTAGAAGCAGCCACGTGGTGCTGACCACATCACTTAATCTGATGCTTAATGAAAATGGACTTTTTCATTTTTGTTGGTTAAAAATGTTTCCTCTACCACAAATATTCTTGTAACAACTTGGGCAATTAATTCAGTGCTTATCTCACACAAGATTCCCTTTTCTTTTTTTTTCTTCAGTTGACAGTGTAATCACAGGAACATATAAAAGGTGAAAGGTAAAGTTGGGAGATGTGACCCAGCATCATTGCACACGGTTATAAACCAAAGGTGCTCTGCCACCAGTACGGACAGCTGATAAGAAACTTTCCACTTGTGTCGCCGTCTGCACGCAACTTTGCAAAGGAAGATATTTTGCTGTTAAAATAATTCTTTTAATATGCTAATTTTCAACAAGGCTGTTATGATAATATGATATTATCAGGGCTAGTAATAATACACAGAAAATTATGATGATCATACAAAGGATATCTCATTCGTTCTTATTGCTATATCATTGTTAATTTACTATTTTCTTTCAGTAATACTCTGTTCATGCAATGGATGTGAAATTGGAGCACAGACTAACAATACGAGACCTTGAGCGATTGCGCAGATCCTTTATGGTTGGTAAAGTGGCTGTTGTTTGTATTTGGAAACAAAAAACACTCAGGTTTTGAGTGCTACAAAATGTATAGTTGCGATGCAAAATAGCTGCCACATTATGCTATACATATATAGTTGGGACAAAATTTAAACTGGAAATACTAAGCAGTGTAGATGTATGAATAATGTATTTCTAAGATCTTCTTTAATGCTGTTGCACGAGGACACAGTGCAACAGTATCAGAAAATGCATTAGGCATGGCTTCCCCTTTTGATCCACACACTCTGACAAATTGGGCCAGTGTTAGTGGACATTTGAACCTTGTCTGTCAAACATTGGAATGTTTGACAGTTGGACTTCTGAACTTTGCCTATCACAGAGTAAGACATTAAATGGTCAGAAATTTATTGTAGGACTGCCCTGTGAGATGCCACCAACAGGAGATGTTGCTAATTTGAGCTGCGAACAGATCTCATGGTCAAGTGCAGATTCTAAACAGTTTGCAGAAATTTAGTTGGACTTTCAGTTAACAGATGTTTGAGACAATTAATCTAAATAATTTGGATTTTATAAACAATTTTGTGTGGCATGTCAAATTTGAGGACAACCAGACATGGTGGATCAAAACAGGGATGATCTGACTGAAACATTTTGTTCAGCTTCATCAAAAACCACTTTGTCGGAAACTAAGTCATCACCAAAATTACCTTTTCCTTCCTCTAACAATCGCTAAAAAAAATCTAAAGCCTCAATTTTGGTCATTCTTTGAGTGGTCTTATTGTTATAAGACAGAGCATTTCCCCCAGTTGCGTGGTACAAGAGCTGGCAAGGTCTTTGCCTGCTGACTCAACCGAGGCATTACAGCAGACTGGGTGTGTATGATAGGGTGCCGCGGCAAAAATAAAGAAAAGTAGGCTATAAATTGTGATTAACTTTTTGGCTAAAATTTTACAGTCAAAAATGTGGTCTGTACAATAGTAACTGTTGGCCTCATCAAGTAAGCATTTATATTTAAAGGCAATGCGTTTTTGTGTGTGTGTGTGTGTGTATGTGTGAGTGGGTGTGTGTGTGAGAGAGAGAGAGACACAGAGAGAGAGAGAGAGAGAGATCACTTTGCACAGATCAAATTTGAAGATACTGCTAACGAGAATATAAAGTTGCATTTAAATTACATCGGACAAACGGCTGAGCTAATGTTTTGAAAAGAGGCAGGAGCTCGAAGAAAACTAATCACAGACATTAGAAGGAGACAGTCATAATTTTTTGGTCATTTTATGAGAAGAGGGAAAATGGAACATGTGGGGACCACTGGAAAGATCTGTGGAAGGAGGGATAGAGGAAGACAACGAGAGAAGATTCTTGACAGTCTTATTGCATGGCATGGAGGTGTGTCAGCACATGAACTAATTTATGCTGCAGGAGATCGCAGATTGTGGCGGGGCATAATCGCCCACCCCAGTCGGCAAGGCACCTGATGATGATGATACACTATTCGTATTCGGCCGATTAGTTGGTTCCACTATTCGTATTTGGCCGAATACTGAAAATCACTATTCGGTACAGCCCTACTATGTATCAATAATTTTCTTCAGGAAGGTTTAGGTTTTGTCATGTTGCGGTAAATACAATTCAGCTGAAAGTTAATTTACTCCAAACCCCAGAAAAAATGCTATCGTGAAAGAATTAATAAGTAATTTTAGCAAAATCCTTTAGTGAATTATTGCGAACAGAATTGTAAGGAAGTTAGAATCTGAATTACAAAAAGTACAGGCAGGATTAAGAAAGGTTAAAGGAACTAGAGATCATATCTTCAATATGAGAACCATCTGTAAGAAATACAGAAAGTGTATTGTAGACCTTCATACCTGTTTCATAGACAACAGTAAGGCTTTTGGCTGTGTTAAAAAATTACCAACTGGAGTCTCATGAGACAGCTGGGATTTCCAACACACTTTATCCAACTAATTGAAATACTGTATCATTAGCAGCAAGCAGCTTTTGTAGTTGACAAAACATCAGAATAGTTTTGAGGTGCAAAGGGAAGTAATAGAAGCATGCATTTTATCTTTAGAGTTCATATCTATTTAGAAAATTTAATGAGTGCTGTCAAGAATAATTGGAATGGTGGTAGCTTTAATATATTAAACAGCTATTTTGCATTTACTAAAGAAATTTTAACTTAAATGTTACAGACAGTGTTTTATAGTATCAGGAGCCAAGAAGAAAAAACGATGGTTGTTTTCAGGATGTGAATACTGAAGGGAACTGGCTCACATGATTAATCTTTTCTCAGAAAATAATTAGTGTCATAATGATGATAGAAATATCACAGACATAAAGAGCAGAATATCACATGCATTTTATAAAGTAAAATAACACAATTGTGTGCAATAAATCCATGTCACTGGAGGTCAGAACAATAATTCTCTCATTCTGTATAGAGCTAGTTTTAAGGTATGGATGTTTATAAACAAGCTAAACAATTTCTAGAAGCCTTGGAGATGTAGTTTTACAGAATAATCTTTAAAATTCATTGTACAACCAAAAGGAGCAACTTAGATGTTTTAAAAGAGCCTGGGGTTTGAGGACGACCTATTACAAACATCAGAAAGAGACAGTCATTTTTTGGTCATGCTATGAGAAGAAGGGAACTGGAACATCTTGTGACCACTGGAACGATCTGGGGGAAAAAAAAAGAGGAAGACATGAGACGATTTTTGACAGCTTGGCAGTCATGGCATGTAGGGGTGTCAGCAGACGAATTGATACATGCTGTTAAAGATTGCACAATGTGTAGAGGCATGATTGATTTCCCACTTTGCAAGGTACTTGGTAATGATAATTTAAATCCATAATGATTTGGACAGAACAGTATTGGAAGGTATCGTTCCTTGAGAAAGAAGCAGGGGTTAGTCCGCATGATGGTGGACACAAGACATTAAGGACACCATTGGCATTAGTGTTCAGGAGCTGGGGAAGTTAGCAAGGCACTGACTAGATTTCTGGCTTGCCTGATTAAAGTGGTTATTCTGTAAAGGACCTGCTATGTGATAATGATGATGAACTGATTAAATCTAAAACTAAGCTGTTGCAGAACCGTCTTAAAGTAATCATTTTTAAATCAATTCATGTAGTCGTAAATGGAGCTAATAAATTTATGTGAAAGAAATTTTTACATATTTAATCAGGTTGAAGGAGATGGTTACCATGGCAAACTGAGCTTAACAAAAGACCAGTTCTGTGAGGCTTTATCAATGTTGTTGAGGAAAGGCACAGTAGAAGAGGTTTGTGTACTAGGAAAGATTATTCTTGAAATGTTAGGCATTAAATGAGATAGCTTACCCGGACAGCAACGAAACATATTCTGGGCCCTATTAGTTCTGGGGAATAGTTCCAAGCTAAATAACAAGCATGTTCCTGACCCTATTGAGTGTGGGGAATAGTTCCAGTGCTACCTTACATGCATGTTCCAGGCCCTCTTGGGCATAGGGAATAGTTCCAATGCTCCCTAACAAGCATGTACCAGGCCCTTTTGGGCATGGGGAATAGTCCTAATGCTCTCTAACAAGCATGTACCAGGCCCTATTGGGCATGGAGAATAGTCCTAGTGCTCCCTAACAAACATGTACCACGCCCTATTGGGCATGGGGAATAGTCCTAGTGCTCTCTAACAAACATGTACCACGCCCTATTGGGCATGGGGAATAGTCCCAGTGCTCCCTAACAAACATGTACCACGCCCTATTGGGCATGGGGAATAGTCCTAGTGCTCTCTAACAAACATGTACCAGGCCCTATTGGGCATGGAGAATAGTCCTAGTGCTCCCTAACAAACATGTACCAGGCCCTATTGGGCATGGAGAATAGTCCCAGTGCTCTCTAACAAGCATGTACCAGGCCCTATTAGGCATAGGGAAAAATTCCAGTGCTCCCTAACAAGCATATTCTGGGCCCTATTAGGCATAGGAAATAGTTCCAATGCTCCCTAACAAGCTCCCTAACAAGAATGTTCCGGGTCCTATTGAGCATGGGGAATAGTCCCAGTGCTCCCTAACAAGCATGTTCCAGGCCCTATTGGGCATGGGGAATAGTCTCAGTTCTCCCTGAACAAGCATGTTCTGGGCCCCATTAGGCATAGGGAATAGTTCCAATGCTCCCTAACAAGCTCCCTAACGAGCATGTTCCTGACCCTATTGAGTGTGGGGAATAGTCCCAGTGCTCTCTAACAAGCATGTACCAGGCTCTATTGGGCATGGGGAATAGTCCCAGTGCTCCCTAACGAGCATGTACCAGGCTCTATTGGGCATGGGGAATAGTCCCAGTGCTCCCTAACGAGCATGTACCAGGCTCTATTGGGCATGGGGAATAGTCCCAGTGCTCCCTAACGAGCATGTACCAGGCCCTATTGGGCATATGGAATAGTCCCAGTGCTCCCTAACAAGCATGTACTGAAAGGCAACTAAGTAAGATTTTACTGAAATCGAATGTGTTGGGCTGAAAAATGCAGATATTGCAGCCTAGCACTAAATCATTTCACAAGTGACAACTGTCCTTGTAAGGGCAGATCCAGAAGAAGATGAAAACAGTAATGCTCCAGTTGTCTCTACAAAGATTATATATAAATTACTACACTACTGGATGAGTGGTATATATAGAGAACAGGAAGAAGTGACTCTTGTAAACATGAGTAACCTGCTACATGGACATCATCTTTCAAAGAACCAGGACTTGATTACTGAACATGAGACATGGTTCTCAGCTCATGGTCCCCTTTGACCCAAGTGATGATGATGAAGTCCTATTAGTAATCGTGTTTGCATTATTATGGTTAGTCTGTGAGGATGTAGTCAGCGAGCGACTGGATGGATAAAGGTTAAATGCTCTGTTAATGACTTTATTTCGTCTCACAGTTAAGTAGGTCATTATTCTCAGACATATATTGTTTTATTCCCGCTGCTTTTTTACATTACCTGTTGCTTCATATTTGTACTGTGAAAAATCCACTCTGTTAATTTATTCATTAACTCTACATCATTCTGATCTATCCAATGTTTAAATTTATGTACACAAAAATGCTAAAACTGTAAATCATTTGATGGTCATTAGGAAGCTGTATTGGCTGCTGTATTGTTTTTATATTAAACAAAGATAGCAGCTTGGTGAAGTAGCCAAAAGGTTGTATTGTTAGCATTTTAAACTCTACAGAACACACACACACACACACACACGCATGCACGCATGCACACACGCACGCACGCACGCGCACACATGCATGCACACGCGCACGCACGCACACATGCACGCACGCACACACACACACACACACACCCCCCCCCCCCCCCCCCCAACACATGGTCATGAAATGCACACACAGATGACTTTATTTCGTCTCACAGTTAAGTAGGTCATTATTCTCAGACATATATTGTTATATTCCCGCTGCTTTTTTACATTACCTGTTGCTTCATATTTGTACTGTGAAAAATCCACTCTGTTAATTTATTCATTAACTCTACATCATTCTGATCTATCCAATGTTTAAATTTATGTACATAAAAATGCTAAAACTGTAAATCATTTGATGGTCATTAGGAAGCTGTATTGGCTGCTGTATTGTTTTTATATTAAACAAAGATAGCAGCTTGGTGAAGTAGCCAAAAGGTTGTATTGTTAGCATTTTAAACTCTACAGAACACACACACACACACACGCACGCACGCATACATGCACGCATGCACACACGCACGCGCGCATGCACGCGCACACGCACACATGCACGCACGCGCACATGCACACATGCACGCACGCACACACACACACCCCCCCCCCCACCCCCCCCCCCCCCCCCCCCCCACAACACATGGTCATGAAATGCACACACAGATGGCTGCATTATATCATTGTTTACATTTGGTTTGACAGAATTCTGTCATACAGGCGATTTCATGGTTAGTGCTGAACTCACTGTCTGCACTTTTTAGTTTAAACTGCAGATGTTTTGTCAGTTTTTTACTGACAGCTTTTTCAATAAGTTTGATAAAGACATTGATTCTCAGTGTCCAGCTGACCTGCTACTAACAATGATCATTAGGCTGTCAAAACTAGATAGAGATTGCACTCATGAATTTAGTACAGTGACATCTATCTTTCAGATATTTGAGCAGCAAAATAATGAAATTGTATTTTACTGCGATTTCCTAAACAGTATGCACAGTTGTTTGATAAAATTGATTTCACCAAAGAGGGAAGTGTTGACTGGGACAGGCTGGCCTCTTATTTGCTGCTGGAATACTATGAGAAGGATGACAGAACCAAGTCATCTCAAGTACCTCAGTGGAGGGATATCAGAATACTTGCCAGGTTTGTGGTTATACAGGTTTTATAAATATATTATAGAGTCATAATATCACTGATTATAGGGAGTAAATGAGGGGGGGGGGGGGAAGAGAACTGGAACTACTGTAACTTTACCATAGACTGTCCTGAGACCTTGCCTCCATGACCTGGAGGAAATAAAAAACATAATTGATTGTGACACAGTATCTATGGCATTCACACTTGGGGAAAGCATATAAGCTCTCAGTCTCTCCCAGCAAAAGTCAGAGGATGTTTTTGCTGACCCTGGTTAACTACATTTTGGAGGTGCCAGCCGGCCCCAGAATGAAGGAAATGTTCGTTTGACAGAGCTTCAAGACTGTTACCATATGTCCAAGTCATATATTCTGGATACAAAGCAATCACTAAGTTTAGTTTCTGCTGAATGGCAGTGTCGGTGGATCACAAGAGATACGTTGATTACAAATCATGAAATGGTAGACTTTCCTGCTCCATTTTGCCTACACCCAAGTCATGGCTGAAATGATAATGGTGGTGATGATGGTCTCTTGCTCACTGAACTGTCTGACAAACACTCTAGTATTGTCTTGCACTTGATCTATGTTATGACATAATAAGGTTGAGAAGCCAGCATTACATCGCTAGCTTGAGGAAGTCTCCAGTATGGGCAGATTCTCTGTTGTTAGTTGACTAGTCAGTGTAGGTGCAGATAAAAACCAATGGAAACCCAAATATACAGAAGTGAGGGAAGCTGGCAAAGTTGGAATCATGTATGGTAACTGTTTCTCAGGCTTTGGTTTAAAAGCCTAGCAGAGAGAGGATAAAATTTGAAAAAATCTGGAGCATCTGGTGTCTTTGTGGAATATAAAAAAATACGTTGTTGATGGCATGTAAAATATAGAAAATAAACAGATATAAACAGAAAATAAACATTATATGTTAGCAGAATTGTTGATTCTGGGCAGAATGCAAAGAATGCCACGAATGACAGAAAAATAAATGAAGCAGTCCTACAAGAAATAAATAAACATCACAAGCTGGTTAGAGAAATTGCACACAAACTATCAAGTAGTGTTGGACACACTATAAAAAGACATGCATTTAAAATTGGCGCAACAGCTGATGGACTTATGAAAAAAGCAAGAGGAAGACACAGAGATTAGTTTCCAATAGCCTGACAAATCATGGACTGATCAAGAACACAGACACGATCCAAGGTTGGTGACTGTGTAACTTAGTGAACATTTACTATCCACACTTATTGTCACACCCACCATGTGATGATTTACCTAGTGCTGTTTTTCAATAAATAATGTCCTAAAAAGAGATGCCTATTTTGAATGTCTCATCTGATTCAGTTGTTATTACGGAGTACTACAATCTTGACTTTTTATTGTTTTTGCATTTCTTCAGCCCTCACAAGGAAACAATCCAGAGAGTATCTTTTCTCAAGAACACAAATAGATACATAGCTGTCAGTAAGGTAATGACATTTATTTTTGTAGCAGACTTGTTTATGAAATAGATATGTAACAGTTAGTAACGAAATGACATTTTTTTAAATTTAACGGATTTGGGTACATATTGTAAATAGATATACAACTGTCAGCAAAGTAATGGTATAGATATATATCGCCAATTTGTTTACTAAATAGATACATAGCTGCCAGTAATGTAATGGCATATATTTAAAAAAAGATTTGGGTACACATTGTAAATAGATATAAAACTGTCAAAGTAATGATATATATTTATATGGCAAATTTATTTATATACAAATATATATATTTATATATAGCTGTCAGTAAGGCAATGGTATATTAATGTAGCAGGTTTGTGTGCATATTCTTAATAGATGCTCATAAATCAGATGCAAGATAAATTAAGCATGCTTGACTAGATATCACAACAGTTAGGTCAAAAAATTCATAGGGAAAGACAAAAATAATGACAATAGAACCAGCAAATATCTAATTGTCCTTATTTTAAATCCCATTTCAAGACGTGGAGTCGTACATTTATGTATGCAGCATATTACAAGGGAAAAAAGGGATGCAGGCTCTGATAAAGATATAAAAATACCAAAACAAAAAGTAACATAAATTTCAGAAGCGCTTGGAAGTCTGTGGAAGCTGAAGGAAATTAAAGTCAGTGCAGACTTCCACTGTTTAACTAATATTTGGAGCTGAAACATGAAGAACAATGAAAGCTGACTAATAAACTACAAACAGTCATTACCTGGTATGCGAATGATAGAGGGAATTAAATGGTTTGTCACAATTACTGATTTAGAGTATTGAGAGAGATCTAAACACAGTCCAGCAGATCTGTGTGTGTAGAAAAGATGTTGGCACTGGATATAAATAAATAGACATTCTTCTTTTTCGTCTGCATATAGTAAGGGAGTTGGTATTATTTTGGATCCAAAGAACTCAAAAACTGTTAAAGGATTTTGGACAATATCAGATAGAGTACTATTAGTAAAACTTGGCGGCAGACCGTTTGACATCAACCTAGTACAGATTTATGCCCCAACAGCAGATAGTTCAGAGGAAGATATTGACGCATTTTATGACGAGTTAGACAAGGCTGTTGATCAATGCAAAAATTGTGAAGTAACAATGGTACTTGGAGATTTCAACGCGAAAGTAGGAAGTGAAAAAGTGTACGGAATAACGGGTGGCTATGGCCTAGGAGAAAAGAATGTGAGAAGTGACACATGGGCTGAGTCACGCAGCATGATAATAGGTAACACCTGGTTTAAACACCATCCTCGAAGATTGTGGACTTGGAAAAGTCCTGGTGATAATGTCCGAAATCAGATTGATTATATTTGGATTTCAAGAAGATTCCAGAGCAGCTTAGCTGGAGCAAAAACTAGACCAGGAGCAGACTGCTTTTGTGACCATGTTCCAGTTGTAGAAAAAATTAGAATAAAACTAAAGAACATTACAAAAATAACACAGAAATCAAGTTAAATTTAGGAATTCTTAGAATGGATAAAGAAATTAAGGACCAGTACAATGTCACTGTACAAAACTGGTATAATGCAATGGAAATTATGCAGACTATTGATGAACAGTGGGATATGTTGCGTGAGTCAATTCAGCAGACATCTAAAGAAACAATCCCACCAACCCATAGAGTTGCAAAAAAGAAATGGATGTCAACCGAAATTCTGCAGTTGATGGATGAAAGAAGGAAGAAAAAGAATGATAAAGAAGAATACTCTAGAATACAAAAAGAAATAGTGAACAAATGCAAAGTGGCTAAAGAAGCCTGGCTGAATCAAATGTGTACAGAGATTGGGGTCACAGGAAAGACTCACATTCCATGTACCAACAGATAAATATGTTAACAGGAAAGATGACATGTAACAGACTGGATGTTTGAAATCAAAAGATGGTGACTTATTAATAGGACATAGTAATATAATTAAAAGATGGACAGAGTATATAGGGGAATTGTATGATGATAAAAGACCAGACGTAGAACTGCAGACCAACAATGATGGTCCACCAATAATGACTGCAGAAGTTGAGGATGCAATACATCATATGAAGAAAGGAAAAGCACCCGGGCCAGACAACATCTCATTGGAAGAAATTGAAGCACTGGGAAATTTTGGAATTGAAATAATAACAACTTTTAAATGATATTTATAATAGTGGGTATATTCCAAATGACCTTTTAAAATCAATTTTTATAGCTCTGCCAAAGAAACCAGGCACTTTAAAATGTGAAGACCATCGCACAAGAAGTCTTATGAGTCACATGACTAAGATTTTACTGAGAATAATTATGAGAAGAATAAGAAACAAAATTAAACCAGAAATCAACGATGAACAATGTGGATTTGTAGAAGGAAAAGGTACAAACAATGCCATTTACATCCTAAGGACATTGTCAGAAATATCTATAGAAGTAAAGACTGATTTGTACTTATGCTTCATAGACTATACAAAAGCATTTGACTGTGTGAAGCATGAAGAAGTAATCAAACTGTTCGAAAAATTAAACATTGATGGGAAAGATCGACGAATAATAAAGAATATGTAGTGGCAGCAAACAGCAGCTATAAGAATTAACAACTGTTTAGGTACATTTCAAAGCATAAAGAGGGGCGTACAACAAGGATGTGTACTTTCACCTGATTTGTTTTCAATATACAGTGAATATATAATGAGATCTTTAATTGATATGCCCGGAATCGTGGTTGGTGGGCACAATATAAACAATTTACGTTATGCTGATGACACAGTCTTGATAGCAACAAGTCAGAAAGAATTACAGGACATGATAGACATTGTGGTGTTAGAAAGTGGAAGAATGGGCCTCAGTTTGAATAATGGGAAGACAGAAGTAATGGTGGTATCAAAGAAACAAATTATTCCTAAATGTGTAATAAAAGTCATTGGTGTTATTTTAGGACAAGTACAGAAATTTAAGTATCTGGGCACATGGATAACATCAGATGGAAGATGCATAACTGAAATAAGAAACAGAATTGGACAGGCAAAACTGCATTTTATAAAATGAAAAACATCTTGTGCAATATATCCTTGTCATTGAGAGTTAGAAAAAGAATTCTTGCTTGCTACACACATCCAGTTTTAACATATGGCTGTGAATCCTGGACAGTCGGTAGGCAGGCCAAACAATTTTTAGAGGCCTCAGAGATGTGGTTTTACAGAAGAATGCTTAGAGTACCTTGGACGGCCAAAAAGAGCAACCAAGGGGTTTTGAAAGAGGCGGTAGCCCGAAGACAACTTATCACAGACATCAGAAGGAGACAGTCATCATTTTTTGGCCATGTTATGAGAAGAGGGAAAATAGAACATGTTGTGACCACTGGAAAGATCTGTGGAAAAAGGGATAGAGGAAGACAACAAGAGAAGATGCTTGACAGTCTTGTTGCATGGCATGGAGGTGTGTCGGCACACGAACTGATACATGCTGCAGGAGAGGCATGATGACCCACGCTAGTCGGCAAGGCACCTGATGATGATGCCAGTGTGATCAGTGTTGATTATGAATACATTGTTGCTTCTTACTCTCCATTCCCCACTCTTTTCATTTTTGATGAGTCCAGAGAGTTTTCCTAGGACTGTTTTTTAAAATTTGTAAGAAGCAGCAGTTCTCAATCTGTGGGTCGTGTCAATTGCACACTAGCGGTCACGAGCACACCGCAGCTGCTGCTCGTAGGTCCTAGCCATCTAGTTTAGCCCCATTCCACGCCCCATGAGCGGCATGGGGGACACGTGGCGGTGGCGATAGTCGTGGGAAAACCGCAGGAGAACCGCAAATTAAGTCACGCGACTGTGGCTCGAAAGGATATTTTGCGGCGGCCATCTTTGCTGATTGTTAGTCGGAGGATAGCCAGATTTTGTTCCAAAGAATCTTTTGAAGCATCATAACAGAGCACCATTATTTGGTAAAGAAAATTGACTCCCAAAACAATAAGTATCTTCTTCTCCTTCTTCTTTTTATTCTTCACTTCCTCTTTTACCGCTGTGGGTGTCGAGGGAGATATAAGGTTCTGTTTCTAGCTCTTCTGGCTGCCTCGACCATAGGCACATCGTACTGTTGTAGAGTTTCTCTGATGTTATCCTTCCATCTTGTTCTTGGTCTACCCCGTGCTTTCGTCCTTCTTCTCTTCCCATGTATGCTTTGTATGGTATGGTGTCACAAGGCATTCTCTCTAAGTGGGCAAACCATTTCACTTGCTGTCTTTGTATGTAATCCAGAATTGGTTCTGTGCCGACTTGTTCTCTTATGATCTCATTTCTGATCTTATCTCTTATTGTCACTCCTACAGTCCTTCTCAGACATCTCATTTCCGTGGTTACTAAATTTCTTTTATGGTTTGTTGTGAGTGACCATGTCTGGCACTGGTAGCACAGAGTTGGAATAAATATGCTTTGAATAAGATGTCTCTTTGTGCTGATTGGGATTGTCTTATGCTGTAAGAGGGGGGCTAGCTGTCCCAATACTTGGTTTGCTTTACTGCATCTAATGTCAATTTCTTTATCCAATTTCCCATCTTCGGTAAATGTAGTTCCCAGATATTTAAACTCAGATGCCTGTTTAATGCCTTTGTATTCTATTGTTATGTTTAGATCTGTCTAATAAGTATCTTCACACAAAACAAAGTTTATATAACACTCGATTTGTCTGTTAATTTTATAGCTATGTTCCTAAAAATAAGGGGAATAGCACTAGAACTGACACTGAATAAAATCGTATTTTCACTAATTTTTTTTTTTTTATCGATCACCGGCTGTGAATTCCAGTGGAAGGTCCCGGTTAATCGTCCGCTTGGACTTTTGGCTTTCACCTGGACCTGATTTTTGCGTGTACAACCGTTTTTCATTTCCCTGCCTCATGGGCAGCTGTACTCCGACTTCGAAGGAAGACGTCAGGCCTATTTCTAGGTTGACTGTGGCCATTGTTTTGTGTGGGTCGAGACGTTGCCTGATTTGTGTGGTGTCCACTTTGTCTCCTCCGCAGGTATTGCCCTCGGAGTACCCCTTTGGGGCAGCCCACTGTGGAACAGTTAGCCCTCAAGGGAAGGCAGGGGCAGATCATGGGCATTCCCCGCCATCCAAGGAGGCTTCCATGCATGCAGAGCCGGCACATGGCGCTCTGGTTCTGGGCTCACCCAAGGAATAGTCACGTCCTGCACGTGCCTGCTTAACCTCACAACCGTATCAGGCCTCCCGCTCAACAGGGGCTGCGCCCTCTGGAAGTCAGCGGGGAGCAGCCCGTGGGTTTTGGACTTTTGTGACCACACAGATAGGTACATTCTTTTTTCTTCGCACGTTAGATTTCTTTGACGAGCCGTTAGCCTGACAGAATTTTACATCCTGCATCAGGCATATCGTTATCAGTTTTGTCCCAACACTCGGGCGAGTGGGGTCTTTGGGTGTGGACATTCGGTCTTTTTCAGTTCAATACAAATTTTGATGGTCAAATTTTGATCCGTATGATCTAGTTTTGTCGGACAATTAGGATGGTTGCTGTTGTGGTGTACCTCAGCGCGGTGTCGAGGACACTGAGGGTTAACCGAGGATGTACATGAATGGCCAGCCTATGGATGGTTGCTGTTGTGGTGTACCTCAGCGCGGTGACGACGACACTGGGGGTTAACCGAGGATGTACAAGGATGGCCAGTCTATGGATGGTTGCTGTTGTGGTGTACCTCAGCGAGGTGACGACGACACTGAGGGTTAACAGAGGATATGCAGTGAACAATGTTCTCTTTACTCTGCAGTCTTTTAACCAAGGGTTGTAATTTTGGCTGTACGTTTGGCAAACCTACTCATGTTCCTAATGAGTTTTGATAACATTTTTCACCCAAGCGTTTGGGGGCGGGCTGATGAGAGCCACAAGGACACATCACCTCTGGGGGCCGCCGAACTCCGAGATCCCCTGACAGCTCTGTTAATGCTCATTTGAGACATTATCCGTGGCGCACGACGAGGACGTGCTGTAGGGGTCTTGCGTGAGGTTCCGTACAACCAGGATAGTTAAGGACTGGCGCCCAAGTGACGTACGGAGTATCTCCTTATACACATCATGTTGGACTTAACTTCCCCTCACGCCTGTGACATAAATCACCGCGCCACATTTTCACTAATGTTTATTCTATTCATGCTAGCTGACTTTGCTTTCGTTGTACCTTCGCGTGAGGTACACATTAGACACATCTCTCATCAAAGTTTGACTCTATAAATGACTGAAACGCATCTAATTCGCAACGTTGTTTATCTAACTTCGGATAAATCGAATAAACACATACTTTATTCAAATTTTAGGCTTCTAAAGCCGTAAATAATGTTGCCATGCCTGTAGAATACTGCTTGGCGGCCATATTCTTTTTAAACAAACACTTAGTAACCCGGTAAATCTCGCAAATATACTATATTTTCGGCTCTCAGACCACGTTTTTTAAATGAACAGGCCTGATATCAGACACAAAGAACTCGAAAGGAAGTTGAAGCAGAGCGGTCCACGTTTTATGACCAGTCAACTGTAAATTAAAAACCTTCACTTGTCACGTGTCAATTGGGCCTGGTGGTTGTAACAAATTAGCATGTCATGCGTTTCATGGGACTCAAAGAGTTAAATTTCCTTATAATTTTCTCCTGGGCCAAGTTAGAAAGAAGTGGGTGTAGAGTATCACCTTGCTTTAAACCAGATGTTATTTAAAAAGGGTCTGATTTTCTGCCTTTATATGTTACTCTATTATAAGTGTCTTCTATACATGGTTTGGTCATAGTAATTAACTTCTTTGTTATTCCAAAGTCTTTCATAGCATTCCATAAACTGTTTCTATGTACACTATCATACACCTTTTTAAAATCAACAGAAACATTATTGCATCTGCTATTTGCCGTAAAATGAATATATGATCTGTTGTGGATCTGTTCTGTCGGAAACCAGCTTATGACAGTTTCCACTCATATGGTAATTTCTCCATCTTCCAAACTAGTTTTAATAATTCATATATCTTTGCATATAATGCATGACCACTTTCTGTTGTAAGTTCAGCAGCAGTTCCATCAGCACCAGTTGCTTTATTGTTTTTAAGCTGTGTTATAACATAAGTACTTCTTCAAAATCAAAATAGACATACCAAAAATAACATATATTTAAACAATACGTATAGAAGAGACTGAGGCGAATAAGAAATGATGGACATGGTTTTAGCTGTACGTAGTAACAGAGGATAGGATGATGCGGTGGAGAGCCTACCTTCCATTAGGGCATAAAGTGCAGAGGAAGCAATACTTGTTGTATGAGAAAAATATTTCTAAATGGCAGGAAGGTAGGTCTAATCGACAAGACATTTCTGAATCATAGGAATGTTAGTTTTATTTGTGTGACAGAAATGAAAGTTTTATTTACAAGACATATTTAAATGAAGTGAATCACAGTTTTATTAATAAACAAATTTGAATGCTAGAAATATAAGCTCTATTCACAAAATATATATGAAAGAATAAAATCAATGTTTGCTATCAGTATATGTTTATCTGCCCAGGAGGGATGCATCTCTTGGTGGAGTACAGATCTAAAATTGCAGTGGTCACTGAAGACTGGGACTGACACAATCAGGATGAAAGATGTATGGGTCACTGACTGTGTTCCACTACAGAACATTAACAAGATGGCTCTGGCTTTCACTAGTAAAGAAATTGGTGAGGCATACAGTAATACGCTAACCTCAAACGCTGCTTCTGTTTGTTCAAGTAGATATTGACGAAATATGTTGCCATGTTGACTCTTTTCTTGACATAACTGATGCTTACAAACAAATGCAGACTAGTACAGTGTTGGTTTTAGTTTTCTTAAGTGAAAAAAAAATTGCTTTGTGGCTGGAAAGCTCTTTCTTTTTCCTTGGAACACAGATGTCCTCATGTGCCATTTTTTTATTTCAGAACAACAAAACTCAATCTGAGCACTATATTTTTTATTAGATAATTATTTATAATTCAATTTTTTGTTGTTGATCTATGCATTGTATTTTTTACAACTTTACATCGGATCCACCAATGTTATTTATGGAACTGCATTTTTTCACTCTCAGCTATGTATGTAAGTATATTTAATCCTTAAACATGATTCTTGGAGGATTATTTAATCCTCATTGATATATTGAACACATTGTTCATTTTCACCTATAATGTAGCAGCATTGTTTCATCTGTATCCGTATGTAAAACAGCACAATTTCATATATAGCTATATATGTAAAAGCAGAATTTGATTCTCAGCCATGTGTAAAACAGCATCTTTCCTTCCTCAGCCATGTGTAAAACAACATCTTTCCTTCCTCAGCCATCTATGACTTGAGTAGTAAAAATGAAATCAGTTGCCAGTACAAAATTCAAGGCTTGCACTTCACACCATTGTGTTTAGATTATTGGTAAGTGTTATTGCTTTTACAGAATGTGTTGAAGTAGGTGCATATGATCACACAAATGTCTACGGACTAATGATACCTTGCACACACAAATATCTATCATCTACCATGTAGTATTCAATTTAGGATATAAACAGAATGTCTATTTAATGTTTACACAGTAAACATAGGTATACATTTCTGACTTAGCTTCTATACAATATAGATCATTTGCTGGAGCTAAGGTGTATGTGCTCTGTGCAACATGCTCGGCAGGCAGCTGCCTCTTATATGGAGAGAGACCTAGTGTCACAGACCTCTGGTATGACCTTGCCGGTCCGTGGCTCGTAACTGGGCCTATGACAGACAGACTAACCTTTAACACACACTGAACCCGAACGCACACAGAGCACACACGACAATCTTTATTGGAAGTACAGGTAATACATAGACAGTTGACTTCCCGCCGTGTGGCCACCTATTGCCTGGACCCTCTGGCTGAACGGGCTTTACAATCGCCTCATCCCCAGTACGTTCGACAGGCAATCTTCTGGTGTACAAACCACAACCCGGCAGGATACGCTCTCTTCTATCGCCACGCTGACCCAATCAAACTGTCACAGTCTCTGTCTTAGTGCAGGGTCAGAGTGTCAAGGTTAGCCACTCTCTCACAGCACATATACATAAATACTCTACACAAGAACTATCCTATCCTAACACAAAACTGTACATAAACTATCCAGTCACTAACAGAAATATATCCTAACTTTAATACTATAACTTAAACTATCCAGTCACTAGCAGAAATATCCTAACTCTAATACTATAACATAACTGTCTCGCTAAACGTCCTCTCTTCCTGACCGACGCACACCGAATGTCCCTTCTTCCTTCTACCTCGTGTCTCTTGACCCCGTTCACCAGCTCAGTCCCAAAAGCAGTCATCGTGTTACTACAACACAGTTCAGTCTTTCTTGCTTTATCCTGAGCGCTGGTTTCGCCGTGCGATCACAGAACGGACTTGACCAGTTACGGCCCTGACCTTTGAGTCAACCCTGGGGTGTCACGTCAACACCCCCACCTTACGGTGTGGTACACTGACTGTACTTGATAGGGTTGTGACATTCATTCTTCCTCTGAACTGATACTTCTTGACAAAGTCAAGTATCAGCAAAGCATGGCCTGCCATCATGTACAGTCATCTTTTTAAATTTTATCGTCAACATTTAGTTACCTAAAAAAAAAATAATATGTCATGTACTTTTGGGTCAATCACCTAAGGACAAACTATCTGGCACATATTTAATGGGTATATACATTCAATGGGCAAGCTCCTCCCTGATGGGTAGAAATGGTATCAGCCCTTGACACAAATACGTCACTACTCATTACACCTTCAAATCATATGGGTAATGATATAAATAAATATTTGGGTGGACACTCAAATCGTCCGGGACCCAAGTACACCTTACTTCACTTACTGTGCAAGTAAGACGCCACTGTATACACTCCCAAGCCGTTTAACCAACGACACCGTGATTTATAACAGTGGGCGTCATGGACTATCCCCACAAGGCTTGTCCATGGTTGTGAAAAGGAGTCATGACCTGACTCCCCGACCTACAGTCGTATAATGTGTCCGCGAATCCGCAGTACCTGCCAAGACACAAATCACCCCATATGACCCACAGTGCAAACTAGACAGTAAACAAATCTGTGGCCAGTTGGACACACTCCTATCCTCCAAGGATAGTGCTACTCCTCAAATGTAGTCTCCATATATGCGATACTAGTTACACCATCATTAACTCTCCATGTGAGTGCCCTTGTAAAAGTACAATCTAACTTTCATTTAAATTGTCAATCATCAATTTTAGAAAGCAAAATATACAATTTAAAGAGAGAAAAAAAAATTAAAATAAGTTCATTTTACTGCCAAACTAAATTGTCAGTTATTTTAAAGTCTACTAGTTTACAAAGTTATCTACCTATAATGCATTATTGTCTAACATATACTTTAACATTTACATTTAGTGCCCATAGGACACTTAGTTAATATTAAACTCATTGAAACTTTTAATAAAAGTAATGGATTTCAGATTAAGTTTCAAAAACTGAAGAATATTATTATTGCAATTTGAGAATACTAAAACAAAAATAATTGCAAATCAAACAATTAACATTACTTATGTAATCTAACAAAAATCTTTAGCAAAGAAAATAAAATAAAATATATTTGTAGAATCCAAATGGATTGTACCACAAATAATTTTACACTGAAAATAAATAAGCAAAATACATACATAATAATTTCACAAACAAAAGTCATTACACTATATTCATTCTAACAAAACAATAAAATTTACAAATCAAAATAAATAAGCAAAATATACATGAAATAATTTTCAAACTCAAAATTATTTCCCTTTTATAAATACCACCTCAATAGTTACAAATCAAAATAAATAAGAAAAATACACAAATAAAAATTGTGCAAACGAAATTAATGAATAAACTTATCAATTCAAAACCAAATAATATACATGAAAGAAACATATACAACATCTAGCACATACAGAACATATAAAACATATATAATCCATACAACATATATTATATTAAAGATGAACATAATAAGATTAACTTATAATATGACAATCACAACATAGACTTCTATTCTATACATTCATTCCCTTTTATTCCAATTACACTCTTCTTTCATACATCACATTTTCCATTCTGCTGAAGTCCTTAGAATGATCATCACCTCTATCTTCCTGTTGAGTAATCTTTTACGATTGTTCAGTTCACTGGTTTTAGGCTAGAACAGTACTTGTATACACTGCTACTTGTCATTTACTGTTGTTCAATTGGATCTATGAAACTTGTGGTCGAATTTATAGTCATCTGCATTTTCAAGAAAGCATGAATATATGAAGACACTGTCTTTTCACATAGTCTGTAAATTTCTGAAGTTACCAGACTGTCAGTTTCAGGATACAACTAGGCAATCAATAGTTTTACAGCCAGCTTAATAAGTCAGCCAGGTTGTTGCTGTTGCCCTTGATTGTGTAGTTGTGACTTGGAAATCTCGCAGTGGTAGTGCCCATCTGGCGATTCGATTGTTCTCTGGGGCACCAGACTTAATGACGAGCAATGGCTGGTTATGTGTCCCATGGACAAGGAGTCTGCCCAGGAGGTAACGCTTGAGTCTTGTCACACAGACAATCACCGCAAGATACTGCTGTTTCGCCGTAACATAGTGTACCTGGGCTGGAGGCAACTTACTGCTCACACAGCAGTTCGGGTGTAACATCTCGCCATCACACTGCATCAGACATAATGCAACTGCCGTACCACTGGTATGATATCTGAGAACAAATGGTAATATGATATTAGACAGTTTTAAAATAGGGGAACTGGAGAAAAGAGTCTTGATTTTGGTGAAAGTCTGATCTAGTTCTCGGTTCAACTCAATTGTATTGGAATGCTCCTTTTTAATAGCTTTGTGAAAAATACAGTTTCCTGGATGATGTTCGGGGTAAATTGGTTGTAATGATTGATGAGGTCGAGTAAGCTTTGGATCTCCTTATTGGTGGTGGGGTTTTGAAAATAAATATGTACTTTTGAGGGTTTTTCTGTAAATCCAAAATGTTGGGTTCCTTGAACATCAGATAATCTATGAGGCATTATTAATAAACATGCACATGTCAACAGTATACATTGCAATACCAAAAATAATATAGCATGTTTTATTTTGACCGGTTTGTTGATTACTGAAAGCAAATGATGGTACATTTGTGTACATCTGCCTGGTACATCAGATAGTACATTACCAATTTCAGCTTTCTGTGTAGATGTTTCTGAAATTTGTTGGTTAATCTTAGGTGTAAAGATTTGTTTGGTTGCAGGTAAGTGTTGTTGTACAGAAAAGAGAATATCTGTCGTAACAACAACATTAAAGTCAGGAATGACAGTTCTGTTATGGAACTCCTCAACCACTAATTTGTCAGTAGGTTCAGAAGGGATTGGTAACAATTCTTCCGAATAAACATTATCGGGAGAGATTTCACTTGTTTTATTTGTGTAGAAATTCTCTGAAAGGTTTGTTTGAGTTGATGTGTTGACAGTTAAAATATTGTTCATACATACACTTTCATTCACATCACTCTCTCTCACTGACTGCTGTCTAATTACAACACCCCCGTTATGTTGTCACACCGTTACATGCCATGCACACATATATGTTCTTTACTTCTTCTTTACTTTTGCTTGGGTCTGGGCTAGCACTACTGGCACGTAATTAATCTTTTCCCACTCCTGTATTTCTTTCATGGTACAGCCCTTTGGATTTTCTTTTCCTGCAATGATGACATCTGCAGGGGGTTTTCTGCATGCAAGTACTTCTATTCTGCTGCAAAGAAATGGGGATTCAACATCTACCATAGCTATTCTCATTTCACATTTCTTGCCTCCCATTTTATATTTTATTGTTTCCCCTGTGTAGTCTGTGTCTTTCAATACGGACTTTCTAATAAGTGAAAAAGATGTGTCAGCTGTTCTTATCACTGAACCTGGTTTTCCGTTTATGATACCTTTACTGCTTTCCCTGTGTGTCTCAGTGTTGTATGCTGCCATTAATCTTTCGTGTGATATTGTCTCGTCATCTGACAGCATTGAATCATCAGTAGGCCACGTCGTCATTTCGAAAAATGCATTTGGCAAACACTCTTTTGTCTCGCTGCATTCATTCGCACTCAATTGTTGCTCCTTTGACTCACCACTGCATTCATTCGCACTGACATGCTGCTCTTTTGGCTCACCACTACAGGCTATATTATCATACTGCCATTTTGAGATATCACTTTCAGATACCTCCTTCACATTACTACAATTTCCCAGAATGACATCAGCAATAGGGTCTTCTAGCACTGCAAATTTTGTTCTACCTGTGCAGTAAGCCGATTTTATATCTGCCCATGCCAATTTATATTTTTCTTTCGCTCCTGAAAAGGTTCGACACATAATATGTTCCCCTGTCAAATCACATTCATCCACCAGACTTTCTCTTATCCCTAATACTGTGGTACCAGAATCTCGCAGGATTGTCGCTACTTTGCCGTTAACCAACCCTTTCGTAAGTTTCACCTGGCCATCGGAACTGGTTACAGTATTAGCCTCTCCTATCACGCTGAGACCACAGGTTAGATTACCATCCTCATTAAAATCTCTACAGATCTGGCAACATGTATCAGAGAAATTAGCCAGCTCAGCTGCATTTGCTGTAGGTACATCTGCCATACTCCCATCAGATAACCTGCTTTCAGAATCACTGCCACTGTCAGATATTTCTGCAGCCGCACTCTGATGTTGTCTTCTTCTCATCTTGCAATCTTTTTGTAAGTGATCGATGGAGTCACATAGTCGACACTCGAGCCAGTATTTAACTGTATTTTTCTCCTGCATTGCTTTCTCTCTCTTACGAAAATGATCTTCATACTTTGGATTCTGCTCGCACCACTGTCGTTGACCATGATCTCTCTTACAGTACAGGCATGTTACTATTGGTCCTCTATCTCTAAGAGGTCTGTAACTCTTGTACTCTCTCGAGTGTTCTCCTTTCTTCTCGTGAGTATATTGCTTTTTCCTGTATACAGGTTGTACTGCAGCTCCGTAACTTACATCTGCACCCTTATTGAAACTAAAAATGTTTCTGTGTGCATTCCAGTATGCAGCACCTGCATCTTCCATCTGCTTTACTGTTTCAGGTTTTTGCTCAATCAAAAACGTCCTCATGCTGCTCGGGACACTTGACAATACCTTGTCTCTTATCAAAAGATCTTTTAACAACTCGTATGATTTGTTCACTTTCGCCGATGTTACCCACTTGTCAAAAGTGGACACCACCTCAGACATGTAATCCAGGAATGTCTGTTCAGCTTTCGGAATCAAATTTTTAAAGGTATTTCTGTAAGATTCCTCATCTAGGGAGAAATGTTGGAGAATTCTATCCCTGACAAAGTAATAATCCTCAAGTTTTTCAGTAGGGATTGTCTCTAGTAATTTCAAAGGTTCACCCCCTAGGTGTTTTCGGTAAATTAGTGACCACTCTTTAAAAGGGACCTCATAGTGATTAACCATACATTCAAAATTTTGTGTCCAAGCAGATATGGAATCACCCTGTGTAAAAAATTTTATTAGGCCCTGGTACTTTTTGAAAGAAGGTTCAGCAGCCTTTATCTCAGCCTTACGGATCTGCACCTCGGCATCTCTAGTTGCTTCTATCTCTTTGGCCTTTAGTTCCATCACCAGCCTTTCTTTCTCTAGGTCTGCATTGCATATCATCTCTTTGAGTCTCAAGGTAGATGTGTGTTCTAGCTCTTTGTCCTTTATCAACAACTGTACCCTGTCTCTCTCAGCCATCGCAGATAACTCCTGTTGTTTGAGGGCTACATCTTTGTCTTTTAATGCCGCTTGGGCTTCCAGCTGTTTTTCTAGGTTAATAGCCTCAATCTCCTTTGTTTTCTTCTGGGCTTCTAACTATTTTTGTATGTTAATAGCCTCGATCTCCTTTAGTTTACTAGCGGCTTCTAGTTCCAATTTCTTGAGTTCTCTCTCGTCAGCTCTGTCTTTTCTCTCTTGGTCACGTTCCTCTTTTTATCTCAACTCACAATACTTCTTATCCGCCCATTCCAGCACCTTTTCACCCGTCATCCCATGCAATTCACTTCTTATCCGCCCATTCCAGCACCTTTTTAACCCGTCATCCCATGCTGTTTGCTGCCATCTCGATAAATTCAGCGAGACTCGACATCTTAGTTACAACAAAGTGATCTTTCGTTCAAAATAATAATTAACAACCACTCATACAAAAAGGGATCACCTGAAACTAACCGTAAGCTGCCACGAAAAAATTATTACAAAAATACTAAAAATTACAAGTAGCAAGCCCGGAAATCAGTGAAAACAATGCAAATAATATAGCAACGTAAATTCTTGGCCTCCCATTTAATACAATAGTAATTCGACAGGCAATCTTCTGGTGTACAAACCACAACCCGGCAGGATACGCTCTCTTCTATCGCTACGCTGACCCAATCAAACTGTCACAGTCTCTGTCTTAGTGCAGGGTCAGAGTGTCAAGGTTAGCCACTCTCTCACAGCACATATACATAAATACTCTACACAAGAACTATCCTATCCTAACACAAAACTGTACATAAACTATCCAGTCACTAACAGAAATATATCCTAACTTTAATACTATAACTTAAACTATCCAGTCACTAGCAGAAATATCCTAACTCTAATACTATAACATAACTGTCTTGCTAAACGTCCTCTCTTCCTGACCGACGCACACCGAATGTCCCTTCTTCCTTCTACCTCGTGTCTCTTGACCCCGTTCACCAGCTCAGTCCCAAAAGCAGTCATCGTGTTACTACAACACAGTTCAGTCTTTCTTGCTTTATCCTGAGCGCTGGTTTCGCCGTGCGATCACAGAACGGACTTGACCAGTTACGGCCCTGACCTTTGTGTCAACCCTGGGGTGTCACGTCAACACCCCCACCTGACTGTACTTGATAGGGTTGTGACACCTAGCAATATTGGATAATATTGCATTAACTTTAACTTCAAAACATTTCTCTCGGAGACCATGTAACAAAAGTTCTGGAAGGAACTAAGTGCTTTTTAGCATGATGTCAGTGTAGATACAGAGCAGAGAGTGTTGTACAGCTTCTATAAGTAGCTGACTTTTTTAGTGTTTAAATATGGTCTGAACTGCGGACACACAGCCAATTGTAGAATCTAGGACACATGCAAAATAACAGCATTTGATACTGTATACCATCCATTTTGTGTGTATGGAATATACTTTCAGTTGCCTTAAATATTTGAGGCACAGTCAAGTGAAACCCAGCCGAAAAGCTGTATTACAAATGTGTGAAAAGTATGTGCACCAGAATTAAACAAAGCAGCTAGGGCATCAAGTTACCAAAGGCATTGAGACATACACCTCACTTCTTGGTGATATGGTGAATTATTTACAATGTTTGTTTATATTATTAATGACATATTTACTGCTGGCAAAACATAATGGCATCTCATTTTGTTCTCAATCAAGGTGCAACCCAGAAAATGCAAACAATGCTGTCATGGTGTGGGGAGATGTTGGCGGGTTTATCAACATTATTTTCTTCTATTCTGCAAATATTGCACTGTTTGAAAGGCCTCCTGCCCCCGCTCATGAGAAACAAGGTGAGGGGTCAATCATGACTGTTGTTAAGCTGTGCACAATGAAATTTAATAGTTAAAAGTGTTCAGTTTTTGAAAATGAAATGAAAACTACAGTAAAAGAAGACTGCAGATCCAAAGATCATGCATTCAAATCTGAATGGTACTGGACTTTTTTTTTTTAATGACCTTGGCTGCTAGGTCAGCCCATCCTTAACTGGGTACCAGGTATATTCCTGGGAAGTAAAGGTGGCCGGTGTGGTGTTGACCACATCACTCACTAAGAACTGACTAGTTTGTAAAATATAGATACTTTATGCTCAGTACATCTAAAGGTGTGGACAAGGGTAATTTACTTCACTTATAAGATGCCACAAAACTTCTATAATCTACACTGAAGGCTACACTAATGTATTGCAGGATGAAATATTTCTACTTAGGTAGGCTGTACAGTCACATGAATCATCAGTCTGAAGACTGGAAACTAGGAATAAGAAATCCTTACTCTGTAGTTCAGCACAAATAGTCTGTATTTTAAACTACCACAGGACAAATACAATTTAAGATTTTACTGCTGGCTTGATAACAGATTTGTGAAATGTGATGACACATTCCAGCATAGGAAATTTTGAAATTGCAGAGGAATGGCTTCAAAGCTCAATACAATAAATGCTTGTTCTTGAAAAAATTCCCAGCAGCTGAATGTGCCATTATTGTTGTATTTGGCAGCTACAAGAAGAAAAACATTGTCAGCTGAAACTTAAGATTGCTACTATCTACTGAAACTTAAGATTGCTACTATCTACTGAAACTTAAGATTGCTACTATCTACATGTTTTATATATATTTATTAAATGGACAGAATACTATTTATTCATTTACCCTACAACACATCATATAATACTGTTTGATAGACAAGTTGTTTCATGTTTTTTCTATACTGCTTGATCATAGAACAAATATTTGCATGTCATCTGTTTAGTTTCAATTTGCTGAAGCATGATGAAGAAAAGTCATATCTATCTTATTTTAAACTATGATAAAGTTCACATCCTCCATTGACATTTAGGCATAGAGTGCTAGACCCATGGGTTGTCTTTACTTCCCAGGACATTTTCCAGTACCCATTATAGGTTGGGGGCCCAAGTTCTGCCATCTCTCCTACCACTGTCTGAAATCGACGAGAATGGTCTTGTTCTCAACTGCCAACTGTGGGAATCGAACTCTAGTAAACTTTGAGGATTGCAATATGAAACAGTTTTACTAATTTTTAAGTCACACTTTGATAACAACAACATTAAATAATTCAATGACAGTGTTAGCTGCCCACCTTCCGGAATGATATATATTTACATATAATGTTACATATTTAGCATGATTGTTTATTACTGTTTCAAGCACTTATGCAGCCAATATTGCCTCATAATGTACACACATTGATCTGTTCCTCCTCTGTTGTATCTCACAGTCTGGGAGCGTGAGTGCTTTCATCTTACACATTTGAAACATTTTATTTCCATTAGGCTGTTATACTTTTTTTTTAAAACTATATACTTTTGTTTTCCATGCTACGTAGATTATGATTTTAATTTAGCTCTTTCATTTTCTGACAATGGCTGCCGTGAAGTAGTTTTAATCTTTCTTATTATTCATTCTATCAGAAGTTTTTCACCTGTGATAAAATTTTGCAAGAATATGCTGGTTATTGCAGATGTCACTTCATGCTGTAGTTTCTCTCTTGACTTACAAAACTGTAAAATGATCATGCCTGGTACAAACATTGCATTTTTCAACTTCCTAACCAAACTTGAGATCATCAGTATTTGCTATTTTTTCTGAGGTTTGCTTGATTCATCATTCTAATTTATTCATCATTTACAAATGCTTAGTAGAGCCTTACATTTTAGTTCTTGGCTAATGTCATGTCAAGACATAGCTGGCTTCCTTACTATCAACTTTGAACTTAACAAAATGTTACATTGAAACCTACTATGCTTGTAATTGTCTCAGTTGCTAATTTAACTTATGTAAACAGATTTTCTTGATGTATATTTTATACTTAGCTAGCTTCTTTTTTTTTTTTTTTTTTTTTTTTTTTGGTAGTTTGTTTAATTTTCTTTATCAGCTCTGCATTAGATATTCATGTTCTACATTTTATTGTTTTGCTGCATGCTAAACCAATTATATGTTGGTAGTTTATTAGTAATAGTTTGAGTAATTCCTCTTCATGACAGCTTATTATTTGATGTTAGAATAAACAGTTCTGTTTTGGACGCGATAGAAATATATGTTGACTATTATTTTTCCACTTTATGTCGCTCGTTAGTGTAAGACATTTAATTTTGTTTTAAGAAGACAAATCAATATTTTCTTGCTATGATTGTTGTCATTTTATATCTTCTTCATTGTTCATTGACATTGAAGGCAGTACTGAGATTAAAGTACTAGTTTCACTCTGCAATGAAGACAGGCCTTGTGACTTGACGCGATGGATTAAATGTTTAAAATGTTGAGTAGGGATGTTCCTCTCAACACATTCCCTCCACCAGATTAACCGAACTAAAATCTGAGCTATGTTGCTCTCAGATAAAGTCCTGGATACCCAAGAAAACAGCCATATTGGCTCGTTAAGTACATTAACATTAGCTGAACTTGGTACCCACAAGAGAAGGAAAGGAATTTTAGATGTCTATCATTATACTTAATGAATTATTAGACAGGGCAAATGATTCCTCCGTCATCTACCTTTTCCCGGTGTTATTATGAATAATTAAAGAATTATTATATTATTTGAGCCCCCACCAAATGTTATTCTATCCTAACAGTTTAATTAAACAGGTAAGACTGAATACACTTGGAATTTAACAAACGATGTAGTTTAAAACTTGACATACAGCTTTATTTACTACAATGAAATTACCAGTTTGTTGATTTACACAAACAGTGACTGGTTAATGTGATGATGGTAAGCTTCAGCGAGAAAACAGCTCCGGGGTTTAGAGTGGTATGATGATGATGGTAATATGTTAACGTAAAGGGGTTAACTTAACTTATAAGCCTCTGACAGCCGTGAGGAACTGTCAAGCTTGTCCAACTCTTCCTTGCCTGTTTTCTGCCTGTTTCAGCTTATTCTCCACTTCATCCCCACCTCGTTCTCCACATCGTTCCCACCTCGTTCTCCACCTCGTTCCCAGCTGGCCGAGTCTAACACAATGTAGTCTACTTCATGGACTGATCGTCACATGGGCGCTGTAATCATGGAAACAAAACACATACGTGTAGTATCTTGACTTATACTAAGAATACATGTATCAATTAATATAGCATATAATAATAAAATATATCCCATCACTCCTCATATTCCACATTCTCTCCAGTCTAGTCTGAAGGTCTTTTGTCTTACATGGACGTCACATATCCTGCCTTCCCTCACAAGCTATGTCATGATAGTTGACTTTCTAAGTCTGTTGTCCGTCTTCACTCAGACTTCCAATCATTGTTTTTACATCAACACGTGGGGCAGGTTATGTGCTGAAACTCCAACCATTTTATATGTGCATGCTGTCCTGAATATTATCTTTCAGTGACAGTAAATACTGTACACCCATCATTATTCCCCTGGGGTTATAAATCCCCTGTGTAGGCGAACACATTAAGTGAGCACATGGTGGGCACACAAACGTAACAGCATCCCTGCACATATTTTGGCATCATTTCCCACAGTCCCAACTCATATTTTGGCTGATGGTGGAAACAATATAATTACATTCCATTATAGCAAATGTCATTGTTCACATCTTATTTTATACACATGAAAACATACACTGAAAAACATGTGACACAAACATACAAGAAATAGGAATAGTTTAGCAGTTCCCTAACTTGAGATACTGAATACTCACAAAGAACTATTTCAAGCAGAATGTGCAGACAAATTAGGAAAAGGTAGTATAGACTAAGCTTAACTCCCTAACCTATGTATACAAGATTAAAATTAATATTCACCTGGGAACTTTCCAGCCAATACCAAACACAACTCAACCAGTGAGAAAATACTTTTCTACGGTAAGACTGAGTCTGTGGCCTGCTGGCGGCACTATGAGGTAAATCTACAATGCTCGTAGTATAAGTATCAATCTATTGTCCAAATTAAACTCCTCCCTTTTCTCGGTTCTACCCAACCCTCAAGACGATGACTTAAGCCACGCCTCTGAAGTACCTATCAGATCAAATTAGCTAACAAGTGGCCTGTCAGTCAATTCTGGGCTGACATCCCTAGAGCGAACATTCTTAAGTGACCCAATCTAGTTTACACCGAATCTAACTGGCCGGTGTGAAAAGACGGTCAGTGAAGCCATTGTGTTTCCTACTTGACCAAGATCAAACATTCCTAATTGACAAACACCTGTTCTCCGGAGAATTACACTGACGTATGAACTCCTTTCTCTGGTCGCCACAACGTCTACTAGCCCACTCTCAGTTCCTCTGATCTAGAAATTTCAAAGCAGCCCCTCAGTCTGTGTTAGGTAATATTCTGACACTGGCGTGAGAATCAAACCTAACATCCCTAGTCTGAACCAGCGGGCTGTATTACGTAGTGTTAGGTAATTTTAAACAAAGCGCAGTGGCTTGGTCTCGGAGAAGGACTGGTAACAATTAACTCCGTGCGGTTCAAAGTAACATTAACAACCAGAAGAACTTATTACAAGTACTAACTTCTGGAACCACCGAGGTCGTCTCGTGACAGGCCTCAGACTGAAGAAACTAACGAATAGTTTCACATTGCAATGAAGACAGGCCTCAGACTGAAGAAACTAACGAATAGTTTCACATTGCAATGAAGACAGTCCTCAGACTAAAGAAACTAATGAATAGTTTCACATTGCAATGAAGACAGGCCTCAGACTGAAGAAACTAAAGACAAGTTTCACTCTGCAATGAAGACAGGCCTCAGACTAAAGAAACTAAAGAATAGTTTCACTCTGCAATAAAGACAGGCCTCAGACTAAAGAAACTAAAGAATA